TAATTGATAATATGATATAATAATATAAGAATAATAAAAATAAAAATGCAACGTATTTTATTATCAACCTCAAATAAAATAATTTTGATACTAATATTGTTCCATTCTTCAATAATTCAAATTTAAAAACGCCATTAAAAAGTACAGTAATTTCTCTCTAATTCGCGCTTAGATTACGCACAAAAATGGACAATTTGGGAAGAGAAAATATGATTATTCGAACCCTGCGTCTCTCTTTTATAGTTGTCGACAATCGGTAACTATAAAAACGAGCTGCAAGACTCGAATAATCATATCTCCTCTTCCCAAATTGTTCATTTTTGTGCGCAATCTGAGCGCGAATTAGGGAGAAATTACTCTAACTCCGAACCGAACAGGAATTAATACACGCGTACAAATCAAAATAATTTAAATTAATGAAATTAATATAATTTGTATATTCCAGGATATCCTAAATAACAGAGTCAACGAATGTCACACTGAAAATTCCCATGAAAAGCCAAAAATGATGAACGTTGTTAGCTTATCGTTAGAATCGTGCAACAAGATTCTCGAAGACTCGAAACGATTCACCGTTAACGCACTCGTCGTTAACTTTGATTGAGATCCAACTTCCCCCCCGTTAAGGCTTGTGTGCGTGAGGCTGGTTAAACGTTTTCGTACGAGGGAGATAAGTTATTCGGTGAAAGCAGATTGAATTCTCCTTTCTGGAGTGTGTAAATGTGGTAGCTGTGAGCGACGCGACGCAACGCGTCCGAGCAATTACCGTCCCGTAAATAGAAACAAGAATTGTACGAAAGTGAATAGTCATGGGGAAAGGAGCGCTGGGCTCAAAATCGCAATCGATTAAGTGCTCCCGCAAATGCAATTACCGATGACAGATCGTTTAATAATTGCTGCAACGAAAGCGACACAACGGAAGCTGATCAGCTTTTCAGTAGTCATGCTTCAAAGTAAGTAGAAGCGATCTGTTCGATCGCAAGGCAGAAATTACTTCGTTCCTCTCAATTAAATTACGGTAGAGACCTCCTTATTTGAACGTTTATATTTGTGATATCCTGTTATCAAAATATTCTATTATTCAAAAATTTCATTCAATTCTCTGCTAAGTGGTAATGAATCTAAATAATACAATGATAAGGTGACAGAACGTTTGGATACCAAAATATTGTAAAAATAAAAATGTTCCATTAAGAGACATTAACTGTACTTTCAAATTGAATAGCATGCTTGAAAGCAATTTCGCTTTTAGATAACTGAAATATATGAATTCATAAATTGATGATGTAAATTTTATTTAAGGTTAACAATAAAATACGTTGTATTTTTACTTTCATTATTCATATTATAATATATGGAGATCAATAATATGTGTATCAATATGTACCAATGATATATAAATCAATCAATAAGAATTGATCTAATTCGTGAAATTTTAATGTACATTCAGTTTTTTCAAATATTTTCATTGGGGACGAAATTTTTGTCTAATGTATAATATTAATAGCAGATCGCGAATGTTAATGCAAAATAGAAGTTGTCCGTTTTCATTGTAAGATATTGTAGTGACAAGCACATTACTTTGTTTAATAATCTTAAAGAATCGAAAATGATGCAGCACTCTTCAAATGTTTTTGTTGCTTTGTATTTAATTGCTTAAAATATTCATGTGGGTATATATCATTTTGAAATCGTTGATTTCAACCATTTGAAAACATGATTAAAAATATGCTTAAAATAGACGTCTCGAGAAAATTTGTCTTATGATAAACATAAATGTAACGCAGCTTGTTATGAATACTGAAAATATAATGTCAATAAATAAAATTATAACAGTAGAATTATTTATTTCAATTTAAAGACTGATAATTCGAAAATGACAAATTCGTTCGTTTTCCTCACTTAACAAATTCAAATGTCTAAAAAAAATATGTATATAAACACAAGGAAACTATGCGAAGTGTAAGTTGTTAATCCAGTAGAACGCGTCGAATTTTTCTCTTTCAGTGACTGTACAACAACACCGTTTAAATACTGGAATAAGTCGAATTCCTTTGTTCGTCTTTAATAGTGGTACACGTCCCCTTTTTGCGCTCGCACGGAATCCGAGATTTCACTTGATAACTGTTCGCTGCCGTGCGCCGCTTTTTATTAACTGGCCGTGACAAAGTGAAAGTCGATTTTTCCAGGGAAACTTCGAAAAAGCCGATGCACAGTTTCTTTCATAGAACGACCACCTGTTTTCACGCCTCCGTTTTACGCCGATCGAATGATACGTTCGCTGGCACGCCAATATCGAATAAAACTCGAACTGTTTTATTTCTTGAAATTGTTGGTTTAAACGTTATTCTATCAGATTCTAAATATCGTAGAAATAGACTTCAATTTGATTAACAATCGTGCACAGTTTGGATTCACAACAAAATTTCTATTAGCAGTTAATAATTACGAATGTTATTGTTTGTTATGGAAATATTTACAGAGTAGG